ATGGGCTAACAAACTGCATACTCAATGCTTTTAAGAAATCTAATTAAAAAGCACAAAATTTTGATAAAATATTGCCGACTTTTGCTAATTTTTGTACAAAGTTTGATTCATATGTTTCTTGTTATATAACGAGCTACATTTTCATTAAAAAAAAATAATAAACATTAAATAATAGAAAAAGGAATAGCCGAGGAATATTTAAATATTTCTTTCCTATTTATATTTTCGCCACTGTATCTACAGATAATTTTTTTCATATCCATGAATTTTTTAGGGAATTAGTATTATTTTTATACCCGAGCGCACTTGTGCACAAGGGTATATTAATTTTGTTCACATAACGGTTGTTTGTAACAGCCAAAACGAATCGAGATAGATATAGACAAATGTATACATAAATGCTCAGGATGAATAGAGAAGTCGATTAAGCCATGTCTGTCTGTCCGTCCGTCTGTCCGTCCGTCCGTGTACACGATAACTCCAGGAAAAATTGAGGTATTTCAACGAAATTTGGTATGTAGGTTTCCATTAATCCAAGGTAGGTTGGTATTGAAAATGGGCGAAATCGGACTGTAACCACGCCCACTTCCCATATAACGGTAATTTTCAAAAATACGAAAACTTCGATATTTTAGTAACTACTGGATATTATTCACTCAAAATTGATATTTACAATAAGTTTAAGACGAAAAATAAGAATATTTTAAATTTTCGGAAAATGGGCGTAGCCACGCCCACTTATGGTTACATGTGTATATCTTGGTAACCAATGTACCGATTTCTTCCAAACTCGGCACAGTTGTTGGTCTTCGCACAACATACCAAATGGCCGAAAAGTTTTAAAATCGGACAATAACCACGCCCACATCCCATATAACGGTAATTTGGAGAAATACAAAATCTTCGATAAATCAGTAAATATTAAAGATAATTTATTCAAAATTGATGCTTCAACAATTCTTATCCAGAAATACGTTTGTGATAAAATTTTGGAAAATGGGCGTGACACCGCCCACTTATGACCACATATATGTATCTCGGTAATCGTTCTACCAATTTGTACCAAACTCGGTATGGTTATTGTGCTTGCCACATAAAAGCAAAACGTTGAAAATTATTGAAAGCGGACTAAAATTGAGCGGACGGTAAATTGCAGAACTGCTTGAAACTTCAAAATTTCGAAATCTAAGGACTCTAATTTACTCAAAATTGATACACCCCGGCTAACCATGTAGCGGTAGCTTTCAGAAAGGTGAAAAACCTTATATTTAATACGTGCGCCGGGTATTTAATGTTCGGCTCCGCCCGAACTTAGACTTTCTTACTTGTTAATAATATATACGTCGGGACATTCAAAAAAATATTCAGCGGGACAATTTTCTCAAAATCGGTACTGTCCCGCCAAAATCGGTACGAATGGTCACCGTATACAAATATCACAAATCTAATAGAATGTATAGAGGAGGCCTCAATCTTTTAAAATGGACAGCAACTGTGAAATTGAATTAAGGTATTTAGGTACCTACAAACGTGCATGCTGTATTTATTTAAAAAGGTCCTTCTTATGCACATCTATGCGCATCGGACCAATGTTGTAGTTGCAAGATCATAGAAAAAAAATTACGCATGTTTGGCAGAGACCGCATAGGTGGAAATAAGACCCATCGGTAAAGCTCATCACATCGAAAGGGAATAGTATTCCATATGGTATCACAGCGTCACTATTCTTGGCCTATGTATGTGTGAGGAGGATACTGCGCTTTAGGAGTTTCGGAGAGGCGATTGCCAGTTTGGTTGTACCTTATTGAGTTCGTTCGTTTCGTCACTTGCTGACTGTTGGCGTATTGATGACGGTGCTAGTTATTTGTTCAAGCTAAACATTTGAAAGCATGCATGCGTGCTGCTATTTGTTAGCTTCCAGAAGTTGCCGGGTTCGAATCCCGTCAGCCGCATCCTTAAATTAATTAATTAATTTTTTTTTTTTGAACCATAAAAGTATCTGTCAAGTGCAGAAGGAATGCGTTTTGAACGAAAAATTCTATCAAACTAATTGCACAAAAAAAGCCAAACAAGTATCCGTTTCACAAGCTTAAATATTTTGAACAATGTCGTTAATAAACAATAGCTAACGATCTAGTTATTTCTTCCAAAATAAAAATGTACATAAATACCTCCTTGGGAACATATGTTATTATCTCAAGCCAATTGTCGAACTCATTAACTGTCTGGTCTTAAAAATGTATGTGGAAAATGCAATAAATTGATTTGTGCCCACGTCAGCGCAATGCCACTTGCCACGCGTCACTTCATATAAAATATTTAATTTTTGAAAATATGAAGGACAACATTCGGTGTGCCCGAACTTAAATAGGGTACGCTAATAACGTAATTGAGTCATTGTATTACAAACTTGCTGATACACATAAATATCTGCACATGTATGTACATGCATAAATACATACATATGTATGTGGGTATGCAAACAAATGCATTACGGTGAGACTTACCCTGGGATTCAGTAATTCAGTCTCATCTCAAGTCACTAAATTTGAGATTAGCAATTAGTGACTATTTTTGTGACTTGAGATGATTTGGCTATTCCGTAGGAGAGAGTCACAAAAAGTTCACAAAAATGTGTGGTGAAAACAAACACAGACAGTCAACTGATAGCGTTTATGTATGCCTTTTGCCGCGGCGGCCGAAGAGTCGCAATGACCGAGTGGTCAAAGCATTAGGCTGCCGGTCGAGATGGTCCGGGTTCGGGTACTCCTCGGACGTAGAGGATTTTTTTTAATTTTTTTTATTTAGTATTTTTATTTTTTTATTCATTAGTTTTATTTTTTTTAATAATCTTAAGATTTTAATGTTAAAAAAAAAATTATTATTTTTTCTCAATGGATTTGTATGATATTAAAGCATTTTGGTATATTTCCTAACGAAATTCTTATTGAACAAATTTCCTGGCTTCATATTCGCGTTTTTTTTTTAATAAAATGGAGAGCAATTAACTTTTTCTCCATATTTTTATTTTTGAGGTGAGACTAGAGGCGTGAGACAGCATACTGCATACCAAATAGTCTCAAAATCCAAGTTCACCACCAAAAGTCACTATTAGTGACTAGAGACCGCTTACTGAATGCCAGGGTTAATCAACTTTTCGACGAGGTACAGGCTTGAAACATCAAAACGTAGGGCAAAACCCGATGACAATGCAATACAGAAGATGAATTAATCCTCCAGGTGGCGCAGATGTTGAGATATTTGAAACCCCGTATTTATGGTCCGATATGGTTCATATTTGGAATTCCGACTTTACTTATTTCCGGACCACCCTAATGGACATTGTTGCTCCTACTTGCATACACACTAATGCCCCCATTTAGCTCTTTTGCTCCAGAATGCAATTAATAAAGGAAAACATGAAGCGCATTGAGAGCGTGAATGTACATACTTACATACATACATAAACCAGTATTTTTATGACAATACCAGCCGGCTAAAAGTGTATGACCGCAGTCAGCTTTCTTCAGAGTAAAATTAAACGCCGCGCGGTCAAGTTCGTGGTTTCTGATTGAGTGCATAAAAAGCTGAGAAGCAGTCAATTCACTGATAACAAAAATGAGCGAGCAAAAATATTTACATCTGAATAATGGCTTGAAGATGCCGATATTGGGATATGGCACTTGGATGGTAAAAAACAAAAACGCAATATTGAATAAGCAAGTGAATTACAATATATCTTCTTCTTTTTATTGAGGGTTTTAAGCGCCTAAAGTCTAGTTTTTCGGTGCACAACTGTGGTTTAAACTAAGATGACTAAAGGTCAACCTTTAGTTTCCGAGATATTGACTACAACTTTTTCGATAATTTAGTAAAAATTTAGTTGGTGATGCAGTCATATTAAGCTAATTAATATCTTACAAATGGCGTTCTCCATTTTTGGATATCTCTTTTAGTTTCCAAGATATTGAGTAAAAAGTGTCGTTAATGAGGTAGAAATTTTGATCACATTTTTTCGTATTTCATACAAAGTGGCTGCCAAATTGTGGACATATGACGCTTACGACAAAATTTGAGTAAAGAACCTCCTTCATAAACTTAAAACTAATTAACAATAAACATTAAATAATTTACGAATTTTGTGAACTAGTAACATTTTCAGAGACTTTGGAGAAAATCTACCTTCGCGTTTTTGAGAAATTGCATTCCAAACTTCAAACGCGATTTCCTACAACCTGACGAAATTAACATACGACAATCTTTTACCCAGGCGACGATATGTAGTAGTCAGTGATCGGACTTCTACCACATTGTGGTAGATCTGCCACTTTTTAGAGCATCTACCACATCTACCACATAAGGTCTGAGATCTACCACATATTCGCGTTATTGAGTACCTAGTTTTATTTTTCCTCGACATAATTTTCTTAATTTTAAGAGCAACAAGTAAGAAAGTCTAAGTTCGGGCGGAGCCGAACATTAAATACCCGGCGCAAGTATTAAATATATGTTTTCCACCTTTCCGAAAGCTGCCGCTACTGATAAGCCGGGGTGTATAAATTTTAAGTAAAATAGCGTCCTTAAATTTCGAAATATTGAAATTTCAAGCATTTCTGAAATTTACCGGTTATATGAAAAACGGCCGTATTTCGATTTCAACAATTTTCAACGGTTTGCTTTTGTGTGGCAAGCACAATAACCGTACCGAGTTTGGTACAAATTGGTAGAACGGTTACCGAGACACATATATGTGATCATAAGTGGGCGGTGCCACGCCCATTTTCCAAAATTTTATCACAAACATATTTCTTTGTTAAGAATTGTTGCACCCATCAATTTTGAAAAAATTAGCTTTAATATTTACTGATTTATCGAGGATTTCGTATTTTTCTAAATTACCGTTATATGGGATGTGGGCGTGGTTATTGTCCGATTTTAAAAATTTTCGGCCATTTGGTATTTTGTACCAGGACCAACAACTGTGCCAAGTTTGGAAGAAATTGGTGAAGCGGTTACCAAGATATACACATGTAACCATAAGTGGGCGTGGCTACGCCCATTTTCCAAAAATCTATAATATTCATGTTTTCCGTCTGAATCTCATTGTAAATATCAATTTTGAGTGAATTATCTTTAGTAGTTACTAAAATATCCCAGTTTTCGTATTTCTGAAAATTACCGTTATATGGGAGGTAGGTGTGGTTATTGTCCGATTTCGCCCATTTTCAATACCATCCGTCCTACGCCCAAAAGAAGTCTACGTACCAAGTTTCGTTAAGATATCTCAATTTTTACTCGAGTTATCGTGTGCACAGACGGACGGACGGACGGACGGACAGACAGTCACCGCTTAATCGATTTCTCTTTTAATTTTGGTATTCATTTGTCTATATCTATCTCGATTCGTTTTGCCTGTTACAAACAACCGTTATGTGAACAAAGTTATAATACCCTTGTGCACAAGTGCGCTCGGGTATAAAAATTGTCCAGCACTAAACACTATATGGTAACAAGAATGATATAGAGCGTGTGTGAATCGGTAACAAAGTTCGCGGCAAGTAAATTTTTGACAAGTTTGAGGTGAATAAAATTTCAGTAGCCCATAGGGCTAGTGAAATTTTTGACAAATGCATAGAAAATTTTGACAATTGCAAAGATTGTTGCTGTGTGTAATTTTTCGTAAAATAAAAGCTTAAGTTGATGAACTGCAATCAATGATGGTAGATGTTTTCTTAAAATATTAATTTCACTCAATTTGTAATAGTTTATTGCGCATAAATCTGCGGTTATGAAAAATTTACTGCTGTCAAAAAAGATTTCATTTCACACAGCAGATTGGCAAAACTGTCTCACCATAGTAAAAATATTATTCAACAGCTTTCCCCATAGAACTTTGCTACCGATTCACACACGCCCATAATACAAGATTCCGCATTTCCGGCGGCGATGAAATTTCTCAAGTAAAAGTAAACAAACCGCTAATGGGAAGATAGAATAAACTGTAAAATAGTAAATTTTCTCAATAATACATTTTTCGACAGGAAACGCGGTTCTATTTATTATGTTAAATTGCAAAATATATTATGATTTATAAAAAGAATTAATAGCGATAATGTTAAAAAACGGCGATTTTTGTGAAAGTATTAGCAAATTTCCGTGCATCTAAGGTTTCTGAGGCGTTGTTTACTTTTACTTGAGAATTGTCAAAATCGGCAAATCCCAAGTAGTGGTTTCTGTAACATGCCACCTTTGTTCGCTACATCGTGATGTGATAAAAAGAAAAACTGGCAGCACTCCGCAAGGTTGCAAAATATGTTCGAAAAATATCTTGATATGGAAGCTTTACGCTGTCAAGGAAAAAAAAATTGCCAAAATTCGACAAAATTTTTGGCAACTTCAATCTTGCACTTTAATATACTAAATTTAATTTTTTTAAAGTCTAATTAAAACTTTTGCAATTTAAGGGAAGCCTTGCAGAACTTTTTTGATTTTTGTACAAAGTTTGATCCAAAACCTGAGATCTACCACATTTTTTTGGAATCTACCACATTTTTTTCCAGATTCTACCACACAGGATTTTTTTTTAGTCCGATCACTGGTAGTAGTTAAAAGTTCTAAAGTTACACCTTCAGACAAGTTTAACCCATTATGAGTTACTATTCAAACCTGTTAGCGGTTTTGGTTACATACAAACATACTGCATACTACATTTTTATTTCTACAACGTTTGTTTAGCTTTGCAGTAGTATGTACATTGGTATGTATATTTGGATGCTGGTCAACTTTTTAAACATACACAGTCTCATTTAAGCCGCGCTCCGGCATTCTTTTGACTTTCAAAATGAAAAAGTGGACAAGCCACACTATCAATAAAAAACAAAAAAAAAACAAAAACACTTCAGGTTGACCTATATCCGCATATAGACAACAGTAATTGTATTGTATGTAGCGTAATATGAAAAGAAAATAAAAAAATGTTCAGGTTTTTAAACCTTTATTTTATTCAAAAGCTTATATCACTATCTAAAGTTGAAAAGGTGATAAGTCCATTTTTTTCAAAATTGGGTTTGTAATGCAGAATGACAGATAATGCAAAACTACATCGATTTTGAGAAGTCTCTCCTGAACAATTCCAAAAAATGGACTTGGCGCCTTTTCACCTTTAGGTAACGATATATATGTATGTACATATGTAATGAACTTGCAAAAGCAAATATGCACATGTAGGAAGTTTTCTACAAGATAAATATTTAAAGACATGAATGTATATACATAGTACCAGTGCATATCCTTACCTTAGTATAGAAAGGCGCTATCGCAAGTTGTCGCTGAAATATAAAAAGCCGTAACTAGCTAAAAATCCAAAATTAACTTTTGATTGATCATGAGGCATTTCATCAAATAAATTATAAATCCATACATCGTTTTATGCAATAAAAAAATTTTAATTTCACTAACAAAGGCAAGTCAGTACTTCTGAGGAATAATCGTTGAAAACAATCTGTTTGCTTCGATGTTTTTTCTCTTGAATATCTCTGGCATTTTGATAAAACAACTCATCTTGGGTTAGGCCATTTTCTCGTTTGGTTATATTTCATAAGGTTCGAAACCCACATTTTAACGATTAACTAACTACTAGCCAGGTGTAATTGAAGAGCCCCGCACACTGATGACTTTACTACTACTACTACTATTTAGTAGGGTTGGGCTGTACTGTCGTAATGATTCCTTTAGAAATTAAAGTACTCCCAATTACAAAATAACAAGGAATTGTAATTAAGAATCGATTCCTTCAGTCTACAGCATAGGAGCTTATTACTTTTTCAATTCCTTAGAAGTAATTTCAAATGTCGTTTTTTTTTTTAATTCGATTACAAGGAATTTCATATTGTAATTGAAATAAACTATGTACGTGCTAGTAATGTAACTCCCCCCCCCCCCCCCCAAATGTCTTTGAAAAGAATTGAAAATGTAATATATTTTCTTGCAATTCCATTACCTGGAATTGCAGGAGTACTTTAGTTTTTTCAATTACTCAAAGGAATTGTAAAAGTAGTTGAGAAATTGAAAGTTCATTCACGAATGTAAAATATGGAATTCTTTTTGTAATCAAAGATTAAAATCGAAACCACATATGGACATCTTCTATCTATCTATGAATATGTAGTATATGTATATAAAAATATTTTGTTCGTTTGTACGAGGTCACAAAACTCGAGAAC